GGGCGTGCGTGAGGCGGGACTTCCGGCACCAGCTGCACGAGGCGTCGGCGGCCCGCACGGCAGGGGGCGGCGCGAGCCGGGGGTTGGGCGGGAGCACGCTTTTTGTCAAGCCTGTGGGGGGAGCTTTCTCGAAGGCATGGGGGGGTGCTCGAGGGGTGGGCCAGGTGTCCTGGACGTTGCCCGCGTGCATCCGAGAGTGCGCTTCTCGGGCCGCGCGGTCGGCCAGAGTGGGCAGCGAGGTTTGAGGATCGAGGATCGGGGTTCGAGGATCGAGGAGCGCGAGCGCGGTTCGAGGATCGAGGATCCATGATCCTCAGGACGCGTGCTAGCCCAAGCGTGTGCCAACCCTGTTCGGCTCCGCCAAGGGCGCGCGGCTTGTGTCGACCCTCGTTGCGCCGCCTGCGTCGCATGGAAGGGCATCGGTTGACAAGCACACCTTGGCGCGAGCACACGTTCTGAGGATCATCGGCTCTGAGAGTCGAAGAAGAACATCGGCATACACATGTTGGCGCTCCGCGCGGATTTCTTGGATCCGCGCTGGCCCCCCCCCGCTTCGCCTCCGTCGCCACCCCTGGCGCGCGCCGCGCACCAGGGAGGGAGGTCCAGCCAGGATCCCAGAATCCCGCGCGGAGCGCCAATAGTTAATGTTTATGGCGTTTCTTCTTCATCTCCTTTTTTTTTTGGGGGGGGGGGGCAGTCCCTGGGCCCAACAACTCCGACGTAGATCAAACGCATGTTTAGTCACAAGTTGCCGCGCGAGGCCTCCAGCAAGTTCCTCACACAGTCGGGCCGAGGTATATGATCGAGGTCGGTTCGGGGAGGGTACCTTCATGTTCTTCGTGCTTGCTGGATGTTCTTGTGCATCCGGGGGAGGTACCTCGAATGTTCTCCAGCTTGACCGGCGGAAGGTCGCACGTGCTTGAAGGAGTGCTTCTCCCAGACATGTCACTTCCTGATTTGTCCGATGATTACGGGGCCCCTGGAAGTCCCGACCCTCTCCCCGGGACCAGTGTTTCATCCTACCCAGATCGTTGGACACAAATATTGTTCGGTCGCGATCGGCACAGACCGATCAGCCCTCCAAATCGGTCGCGACCGATCGCGACCGATCCCAGAATCCGTCGCGACCAGTCACGACCGATGTCGACCGACTGGTCGCGACCGATCGGTCGCGACCGATTTGAAGCAAATCGGTCGCGACCCATACCGAACTTTGAAACTAAATCGGTAGCGACCGTTCTCGTCGGTCGCGGCTGGAAAATGCCAGTATCCAATCAGAGTGAGTCGTTTTTTGAGGGTCCCGAGGCCCAGCGAGGGCCCCGCGAGGCCGAAAGCGGTCCAACACCAGCAGTCCTGATTCTTCAACGACGCGGTCATGTCTGGGAAGGCGCTCTCCTGCTCTGGGCCCGACGGTGCTGCCATTGCTTCCAAGGCCGCCCCCCTCGCGCCACCCCCCTCCGTGCGATCGCCGCCGCGAGGTGCCCAGGGCCACGGACAGCTCCCGCCTCTGGTCCCGGCTGCACGAGGTCCCGGACGCCGACCTCTCGCCCGAGTACGTGGCCGCGTGCCGGTCGCTCCGAGAGAAGGCGCCTCCCCGGATCCCTTGGGGCAGTGAAGACATCACCACGGGAGGTTTTTCGCCATTTCCGGCCTCTGGAGGCCCTCACCGGGCCTCGGGACCGTCCAACAACGATTCAGCACGAAAGTCCTGTCTTGGGGCAAGGGTCGAGCCTTGCGGGGACCGCGTCTTGAAACAGTCACGACGTCGGATGTCTGCGTCTGGCCTGGAGCCAGCTGGGGGTTGCCCAGTTTTGATCTTGGTATCGCTAGGACGTGTGCATTTTTTCGACGGGGGCCATCGAGGAGCATTGAGGGCGATCTTGCGACAAGTACACGCGCGAAGTCGAAACATACACGGAGAATGGACGTCCGAGCGATGGCGAGTTGATCTGTCGAGCAGCAAGATGTGGAAGAGGTTTGAAGATCTGTGCTCGGCAAGGTTTTGTTGCTCTTTTCGGCCGTCGGCGGCTGTTTTCTGGGCGCCTGGACCATCAAAAGTGGATCCTGGATGACCGTGCGGGCAAACCTTCTGTCCATATCCATTGCAGTTTGGAGTTTCGGGCTCCCTTCCACAGAAGCTCGAGGCGCACTGGATCTGGGTAAATATTCAGCCCTAGAGGTTCGAATCGTATCCATATCCAGTGCGCCTCGGCTTTTTGGTGCCCCTTCCCAGATATTCCAAGACGCACCGGATACGGATATGTACTTTTGCCCACAGACCAGATGGACCCGGGGAGGTGTCAGGGCCCCAGGGACCGAAGTTGAATGGATTTGCTCCCAGACACGCGACGTCTTGATTGTTTCAATACGATGCCCCTGGAAGTCGCGACCCTTTCTCCTGGACAGTTTTTCATCCAGAGTCGGTTTTTGACGGCCCCGAGGCCAAGCGATGGCCCCTCGAGGCCGCAATTGGTCAGAACCCTTTCGCCCTGATCTTGTCACGACGTGATCATGTCTGGGCTCTCGTTCCCCCTTCTTGACCGATGCTCTCGGGGCCCATGCAGCTCAGACCCCACGGCCGCCTCCAGGCGCCTCCGTCGCTGCCAGGGGGCCGCCCCGGAGAGCCCGGACATCCTCTTTCGCATTGCGGCAGACGCGCGACGCGAGGTTGGCAGGGCCCTCTTCTTCCTCCATCTCCCTGCCTCCCCGCATCCTCTCGTCGAGACCTCCTAGATGGGGTCCGAGTAGATGGGGTCGGAGGATCGCGCCGCATCGCCGATGCATCGCCGATGCGGCTCGATGCGGAGCCCGATTTCTTTCACGCGGACGTCGCCGATGCATCGCCGACGTCGCTGATGCATCGCCAATGCATCGCCGATGTATCGGCGATGCGGCGCGGTCCTCCGACCCCATCTGCTCCGACCCCACCTGGGAGGCCTCTATCCTCTCGGGATCCCGCAGAGGGGAGGTGTGCGCCGTGTGTGTGTGTGTGTGTGCGTGTGTGTGTGTGTGTGTGTGTGTGTGTGTGTGTGTGTGTGTGTGTGTGCGTGTGTGTGTGTGTGTGCGTGTGTGGGGGAGAGAGTTCGATCGTTTTTTCCACCGAGCCGCCCCAAACAGATGCCCTCCTCCGACCGCAGGAGTCCCAATATCTGGCCCGAGAGCCAGGCCCGATCGCGGCGTGGTTTTTTCGTCAGTCTCTGGCCTCCGTGGGGGCCCTCTGCTAGGCCCTGGGGCCGTCAGAAAGCGACTCGGGACGAGAAGCCAGTCCCCGCGAAGCGTCACGAAAAAAGCATTGCGTCGGACTTCTGGGCGAGGCCAGAGGATGCTTCGGTAGATCGCGCCGCGCAGCGCGCTCCACGGCCCGATTCTCTCCATCGCGACGTTGCCTGCGCATGGCCGATGCATCGGCGATCCGGCGCGGTCTACCGACCCCATCGGCTCTGGCCCCGTTTGGATGAATTCTGGAGGCCCCCCAAACCGGTGGGGGGGTGCCCGATGCCCTCGCCTTCGTCGTCGCCCGTCGTCATCCGTCGTCCGTCGTCGTCGGCAGCAGGGGGAGTTTCTACGTCCCCTGCGCGCAGGGAAACCACGGCATGGGTTCGGCGGCGTCGGCGCCCGTCGTCGTCCTCCGTCGTCCGTCGTCGTCGTCGTCGGCAGCAGGAGGAGTTCCGCGCCCCCTGCGTGCAGGGCAGCCGCGACCTCGGTTCGGCGGCGTCGTCGGTCGTTGTTGTCGTCGGTCGTCCATTGTTGTCGTCGTCGTTGTTGTTGTTTTCGTCGTTGTCATCCTTCCTCCGTCGTCAATTGTTCGTCGTCCGTCGTCGTCGTCCTTCGTATGTCGGCCGTCGTCGTCGTCGTCGTCCGTCGTCGCTTGGTCGTCGTCGTCGTCCTTCGTACGTCGGCCGTCGTCGTCGTCGTCGTCGTGATCGTGATCGTCGTCGTCGTCGTCGTCGTCGTCGTCGTCGTCGGTCGTCTGTCGTCCGTCGTCCATTGCCCGTCGTCCGTCGTCCGTTGTGCGTCCTTGTCGTTCGTCTTCCCCCGTCGTCGTCGTCGCTTTCGTCGTCATTGTCGTTGTCTTCTTCGACATCATGAGGTGTTCCCACTGCCCCATTGCGTGGAAGGGCCAGATGAAGTGAACGCCCGCTGTTTGAACAAGTCATACTATCGTCGATGATCTGAGTGTTTGTCGTTGCGCCACTCTGGTCGCCCAGGTGGCCTCTTGGGCAGCCCCAGAATGGGCTGGAGAGCTTTGGGCATCCTCGTGTGGCATCCGGCCCAGCGCGGACACAGCCGGGCCGAAAGAGTACAGCGGGAGCCCCGTGAGATCCAACGCATTGACAGCAGGACGGAGGTATTTCAATGTTTTTGGCCTCCAGAGGCCCTCGCCAGGCCCCGGGCCCGGCGAAAAACGACCCAGGATGAAACAGCAGCCCTGGGGAAAGGGTCGAGATCCCCTCGGGCCCCATACAGTCAACCCGCATGGTAAGGATGGGCAACCTTGCCAAGGGTACCCTTGCATCTTTGCCCCTTCGGCCCATCCTTATCGACTGTCGCTGGTCAACCTCGCTCGCAAAACCTCAGCTCTGCCCTCTGAGGCCCTTCGCATCCTTACCGCGCATCCTCATGATACGGGTGGACTGCCTTGACAGATCTGGCCATCGGATCTCTGGGCGTCCGGCGTGAGGTGCTGCTGGAGCTGAGGGACTCCCGGCCGCTCACGGCCTCGGGCGTCGTGGCGCAGCTCAGGATTCAGGAGAGGAAAAAACACACAGACACAATTAATCTTCGATTCCTCAGAAAATATGGGAAAATATGGGAAGTGGGGGGGAAGACAGAAACCCAGAACATATGGGAAAATATGGGGCATATTTTTATTTGTGTGTATTTATTTGTGTGTCCTGGGGCCCCTTCAAGGATGTACGTCGAGCTGGTGCAGACCGAGCGGTTCAGCGGCGCGCTGGCGAAGGACCGGCTCTTCACGCTGGAGAGGGAGCGCGAGTCCAGGCTCACGTCGGGCATGTCCCCCCCACAGGAGGACTGTTCAAGAATGGAAAACAATAGTCTGGGGACGATTTGTTGAGAATTTGCGGATATTTGTTATTGAATATTTTCTGGCCATTTTAAGCTGTCTTTCCAAAATCCGCCTGTAGGACGACCTGCCCGACCTAAGTCCCGGCCTCCCAGATCGGGTCCGAGCAGATGGGGTCAACGGATGGCACCGCATCGACGATGCATCGTTGATGCGGCTCGGTGTGGAGCCAGACTTTCTCTCCATGCCGACGAAACGCTGACGTCGCAGACGCACCGCGGATTCATCTTCGAATGCGGCGCGATCCTCCGACCCCGTCTACTCGCGTATGAGGCGAAGGAGGAAGCCCAAGAGGAGTGCACCTCCTCCTCCTCCTCCTCCTCCTCCTCCTCCTCCTCCCCAGACATCCGACTCCCCACACGCCTGGATTTATTTTTGAAGACCAGTTTTGCATCCCGAGCCGTTCCTTGTTTGCACGGGGGCCTGCTAAACGGCACCCCAGGGCCGAATACCGCCAAAAAATATCCGTCGCGATGTTGTTCGCAATCTGGGGAGGTCAAGGACCTCCTCATCCTTCTCCTCGCCTCCTCCTCTTCATCCCCTCCCTCATGTTCCACTTGAAATCAGCAGGCGCTGGGCCCTTGCGAGCCAACAAGCTCGAGATCTGCATGACATCAACGGCCACAGAACCCGAAGCAGGGGCGAACAGTGTGATGAAGGGTCCCGATAGTAGCGTCGCCACGAAGAGGAACAAGTGCAGCGAGACTCTCCACCAGCAGTGCTCCTCTCGCCGTTCGACGATAGAGTCCGGAAGTACGATGGTGGAGGCCCGCTGCGCCAAACCTACGATGCGCCAGGAAGCCACAGCAATCCCATCCAGGGAGCCACATACAATACCGACGAGATGGGGAAGATTACGAGGGGCCCGTGACGGGGAGCTCCCCGGCCGCTCCACCAGGAGCCATCGGGCAGCCTCGCTACGATGAGCTATAGGGCTTGCCTGGCCTCCGCGCGGCGTTTGCGCGTGCGCGGGCTTGCCGGAGTTGACGCCTCGCCCGAGATCTTCGTGTCGTGAAAGACTCGCGCCGGAAGTTTTTGGCAGTTTTCGGGCATACAGTCAACCCGAATAGTATGGGTGGGCACCCTTCCCAATGGTACCCTTGCATCCTTGTCCCTTCGGCCCATCCTTGGCCACTTTCGCTGGCCAACCTCGTTCGCAAAACGCTCCAATGCCCGTGCATCCTTACCGCGCATCCTTATGATACGGGTTGACAGTAGAGCACGACTCGGAATGAAAAGCCGGTTTCCGGGAAGGGGTCCAGGACCATCACGGCTCGATGCCCAGGACCAGGTTTCGGGTCCCAGGGGTCCCAGGACCATCACGGATCGATCCAGTTCGAGGAATACCATCGCAGACCAGTCCCGGTTCGTAGTGTCGGACCTCAGAGTCACATCCTCCCTCCGCCCCCTCCCCTTTCTGCCTCGTCCTTCTTTTTCTCTCTCTCCTCCTCGTCCTCATTCTTTCCCCCTTACAGGTATGTCCCAGATCCCCCCCACCCCAGAGACGATTTTAACTTCCGAAGACCGCGTGGCTCCAGCATGGACGCCAACAAGTGAAGTACTGAAGCTCGTGGTCACGGCAGATCTGCGCAAGCCACGGCGCGAGCAAGGGGCGAGGCCCGATTGGCGGGACCTTATGCCCATGAAGAGACAGCGCCGTCCATGGCGCATCCCAGACACCCTTCAGTGGAGACCCATGCCAAGAAGTACCCTGCTTGCCTCCAGGGTGCCCTGAGCTTCTTGTGTTTCGATTGTTTTGCCATGAAAAGCGTGACGTTCCCACACCAAAAATCTATGGACGTCCTGGGGTCTCAGGATTGGGTTCCTTGTGGGATGTTTCTTGTGGTCGAGCTTCTGCTGTATGGATGGGACATCTACCTACGGCCGCGAAGTATTACGGACCACGCTCGTCAGAAACCCACGAGCGGAACCCTGAGGCCTCGACCTCTCGGCGCACGCTCTTGCCCAGCACATTGCCGGGGACCCCTCCAGCGGGACCCCCATGGCCACGAAGCCTCGGCGCAAGCTCATGCCCAACCTGCTGGCGGGGCCCCGCGTGCAGGGCCCTGGGGCTGTGCCCTGTCCGCACGCACTCCTGCGCACCCCTATCGCAAGAGGGACCCCACGGGTGGGCGGGACCAAGTGGCCGCGAAAGTCTCAGCCTTCACTCCGTGCGCAGCCCACGGGCGCAAGACCCGATGGACACGATACAAATCAAATCCGCGCGCGCGTGAGCAACCCGTGGTCGTGAGCCCTGTCGGAGACAACTGTCGGGCGGGTGTTTACGGGGGGGGGGTGGACCTACATGAAGGCCGTAGAGGGGCACTTTGGGGCCCCTTTTGGAGCCAGCAGAGGCCCAAACTTCTAAAGTGCCCCATTTAAGGCCGCCCGTCGCACCCCCATCCCCCCCGACCGCGCTGTGCGTGGCGCCGCAACAACGATCAAAGAAGGAAGAACGCTACAAATCTAAGCTTTTGGTGCCCTGCGCGGATTTATTGGATCTGCGCTGGGCCCCCCCTGGCGGCGCCTCTGGCGCAGCCCCTGGCGAGCTCCGCGCGCAAAGGAGGGGGGTCTAGCGCAGATCGGAGACATCCGCGCGGACCGTCAAAGGTTCATGTTTATGTCATGTCTTGTTCCTCTAAACAGGTTTCTCCCCCGCCGCACCTCCATCCCCCCCTGTTCCTGTTCCTCCCGACTCTTGGTCATCGTCTCCCGCTCGCACGCAGCCCGCACCAGACCGGAGCATGGGCAGCTCGGTGTGCTCGCGGGAGGGTGGCGGGCATCCGCAGCAGGAGGGTCAGCAGAGGCGAAGAGGATGCGAGGAGGAGGTTGGGGACGAGGATGCTGAGGGGGACGAGGATGCTGAGGAGGGGGAGGAGCATGCTGAGGAAGAGAAGGAGGAGGAGGACGAGCTGGAGACTGCGAATGGGGAGGAGGAGGGACGAGGAGGGGGGGGTGCAGGAGGAGAATGAGGAGGAAGAGGAGGAGGAGCAGCAGCAGATTTACCAGGTTCAGGAGGGGGTGGGAGCGGGAGGAAGGGGACGTGGAGAAGGAGGAGCAGTACGACGACGACGGCGAGGATGAGGATGAGGAGGAGGGGGAGGAGAAAGACACGAGGGATGAGGTGTAGGAGGACGACAAATGAGGTGAGCGGACCAGCACGATCATGAGGAGGAGGTTTGCCCATGGCGCCCCAGTTTGGACTCCCAGAGGAGGCCTTCGAGGAGGCCGAGCTGAGCAGCCTCTGCGAGCGATACGGTCAGACGGCCGAGGCGTTGGCGGGCTGCCGCAATGTACGCTGGGCTCCATTCGATTGCTCACCATCACCATGCATCATCGTTCCTTCCAGTCAGTCGTTCCCTCGCTGATTCCCTCGTTCCCTTTCAGTCGTTCCCTTTCAGTCGTTCCCTTCGGTCGACCGTTCCAGTCTCAAACTCGGTATCGTCTTCGTCGGCCTTGGTTTCAGACGCATCCTCCCCTCTCTGTAGCTTTGGAAGCAGTTTGTACTGCAGGCCACTCTCTGGCAAACACACCCTTTCAACAGTAGTAGATTTCAATGTGTCGGGGTAGTGGTATTCGGAGCAACATGTTAGCCATCCCGGGCCCCATACTATTTCTCGTCGCACGCGTGATACAATCTATGTTGTGGAGTTTACGTTGTGCAGTATATGTGTGGTGCAATCTATGTGGTGCAATCCACTTTGACCGTCTTGAAGCTGTCCTCTCTACTGCTCGTGCAAACATCCCACCCTCCCACCCGCAACTTGGTCGCAAGACCTCTCAAGACAAGACCGTGACGGTAGGTACCACATGGCACTTGGCCACGACACAGACGCCGACGACGACAGCGACAACGACGACGGCGGCGCCGCCGACACCGTTTACGACGACACCGACGACGTCTCCAACGACTTCGACGACGACAACGACGACGACGACGACACCGACGACGACGACGCCGACGACGACGACGATGACAACGCTGACGACGACGACGACGCCGACGACGACGACGCCGACGCCGACGACGACGAAGACAACGACGACGACGACGACAACGACGCCGCCAACGAAGACGACGACGACGAGGGAGGAGGGAGGACGACGACGGCGACAACGACGACAACGACGAGGGAGGAGGGAGGACGGTGATGACGCGAACGACGAAGAAGGAGGGAGGACGGCGACGCCGACGACGACAACGACGAGGGAGGAGGGAAGACGACGACGACGACGACGGCGACGAAATAGGAGGGATGACGACGAGACGCCGATGACGGTCGACGACGACGACGAGGGAGGAGGAGGAAGGACGACCACGGCGACAACGACGACGGAAACGACCACGACGCCAAAGAGGACGACGACGACGAACACGAGGAACGACAGAGGACGACGTAGGCGACGACGACGACGCGGGAGGAGGGAGGACGGCGACGACGACGACGACGACGCCGCAAGAGCGCGCGCGCACGCTTTTGTTGAACGTCCGTGTTGCGAATCCGTGTGTTTTTGTCGGTTTCTTGGACGCGCGATTTTGACATCCTTCCGAAACCGATGGGTCTTGAAGGATTTCGGCGTACGCGCGCGACGACGCGCGCGTCTGCACGTCGTCCCATTTCTGCTGCAGAGGATTCTCGCGACGGCACACGCGCAAGGGCGTTCGACAGATTTCGACATGCGCGCGCGCGACGCCCGTTTGGTAGCATGTTGTGAAAATATTGAAAAACCAATGGTTTTCTTAAGATTTCGCAAGAGCTCGCGCGTAAGTTTTTTTTTTTTTATAGCAAATCAGTGTTACGAAACCCTGTGTTTTTTTTGTTGTGTTTTTTGGGAACTCGATTGCGAAATCCTTCCGGCACCGAAGGTTTTGGAAGGATTTCGGCATGCGCGCGCGACGACGCGCGCGTGTGCACTTCGTCCCATTTGTTATAAGTGATTCGCGAAAAAAGTGCGATGGTAGGATGTTACCGCATAGTGTTACCGCTTTTTTATTAAAAAAGAGGGAGCCTCAGGGGGGGGAGGACCCGGCTGGCATGGGACATTGCGTTGTCAGACTTAGGATGGACATGTGGTCAGAATCATATGTGACTTACATACCCGAAAGGGGTAGCCATACCGCCCCCCGGGGGCGGGGGTAGAGTCTATTCTCTTTTTAGAAAGGAGAATTTGCATTCACTAGTGCGTTTCCAACCCCATCGGCATCTAGGCATGCGAAGCACATGCGGCGACAAATGCGGTGACTGCTTGGCGCTGGCTGGCGCATCGCTGCTGCCGCACTAGCCGTAGACACGCTAACGGCGATGTAGGTTTCGGTATGATGGGAACGCGTGGCTGGTGCTTTCCCACAGTTCGCTGTGTCGTTTTCGTTCGATGCATTTGCAGAGTGGAACTGTAGGAAAGTGTGGATCGTGATTTCGTACAAGTTGGCTCCCAACATCATCGTTCAGTAACATCGCCGTTATCGCTGTCTAGGGAGAGCGCGCGCAGGATCGCGCGCAGAGCGGCCAGCTACTCTGTCACGACCGACGCGGCTGCGGCGGCGCTGATCGCTGGAAGCTTCCCGGCGCGTTTCGCAAGCCGCGCTGGCGATCGTGCGCGTCAGTGCCAGTCTGTGCCTCGAGCGCGCGTGGCACCACGGCGACGTCGACAATGGCAGACGCGATGCTCAAAGTAGGGGTGCTGGTGGCGACGAGGAAGGTCGCTGATGACGCCGAGTACGCCGATGCCGTCTACGCGTCGGCGATGAAGGTTATGTATGGATTCCGACATGCGCGCGCGGCCGACGTGCGCGAGTGACCCGCACGGTGTTTCAAAGGGACCCTCACCCCTTCCCCCGCCCCCCCAGCTAGTGCTCAAGTGTACTCGAGTGATTTCGCCTTGTTGATGGAACGTGTTAGGGGGAATTCTGAAAAGGAGTATGGCGTGGTTTGGCAAACCGCAGTGAATGAACATGCGGAACACATGGTCCCCATAACGATTCGCAAGGGCGCGCGCAGACTTGTTTGAACAGTTGTGTTTCAACATTGCGCGGTTTTCAGGTGTCCGGGAAGTTCAGTTTTGGGATTCGATCGGACACCACGAGTTTGTCGTGTTTCTTCCGTGTGCAAGGGAATTTGGGGTAAAGTAAGAATTTTGATGAACGAGTGCGCGCGTATATATGTATATCTGTATATATGTCTATATATAGTTTACAAGGATGAGGCGGGCGATAACGGGTCTAGGTGGGATACCAGAGCCGCATTCTCAAAACAAACGATGGGGCAGAAACATATTTCAGTTGTATTATGCCAACAGGGTTGGGCAATTCCGGAGTGGTGGTTGTAGATCCGGTGTTCGTTCTAGAACGAACGCGTGTACTGTCATTAACTAGCCTGCTCCGCGCGTGACCGTATCCCACGCTCGTGCAAACATCCAACCCACCCGCCCGCAATCCCAAATCCATGCTGCGGCGATGGCGGTGGTTCGTTGTCGTTGGCTGGCGCATCGCAGCTGCCGCGCTAGCGCGCGCAGGCTCGAACGCAGAGCGGCCAGCAGCTGTGGCTCGACCGGCGCGGCTGCGGTGGCGCTGTTCGTCGGGAGTTTTCCAGCGCGTATCGCAAGCCGCACTGACGCTCGGGCACGTCAGTGCCATCCGATGCCTCCGAGCGGGCGCGTTACCATTGCGACGTTCACAATGGTTTTCGAACGATCACGTAAACTGCACCGGCTTCCTTCACACAGTCGTAGAACTATAACTCATTGGCCAAGTCCCACACGGGCTACAAGCGCATATGTGTACGCATGTATATATATATATGTATAGACATAAGTGCTCACACATGTCAGAGACTTGTGAGTTTGTCATACATGTATTGCATATTCACCACGCGTGTACATACATCGGTATGTCTATGTGTACGTCGTGCGCAATGTCCTCGTGGAATGTTTGGGGTTCCCTAGGTCCTCACCAGAATCGACCCCGACTCCTCTCCGAAGGGGGCGATGTGCCCAGATTCGCCAGGGGAGTCCAGAAGCCTCCCAGAGATCCCCAAACATGGGAAGAGCGCTATGACACCTCGACCCTCCAACCTCCTCGTCCCTCCCCCTGTCGTCTTCCTCCTTCTCGGCCCTCTTCCGTAGCACTTCGCACGGTCTCTGGCATCATGTGCCCTTCTCCTCTTCCCGCCCCCTTTTCCGAGGCGCTGGCAGGCCAGCTCCCTGTACAGGGCCTGGACGACGCATTCGAGGGGGCGCGCAAGGACATGGAGCCGCGACGGGCGACCGTCATGGAGGCCAGGGCATCCTTCGCTCGCGCACGCGCCTGGTCGTCTTCCCCTCCCCGTTTGGATGCAGCTCTTGGGCTGTTTCATTTAGCGTATTCGAAACATGTTCAACTCCAGACATTCTGGACTAATCCCGCTGATTTGGCTTCATCCTCTGCGTAATCCAGCCTGGTCTGGCATACTGGACCCTTGCAAAAAGGCGTCATAGCAAATAATGGTTCTCGCGAAGACCTCCGAGGAGTTGCTTCCTAACCCTTCATCGAGGTCTCCTGACCGCTTCTGGGCCTCATCGGACATCTTCGTGTCGTGACACAAGTCACAAGTGAGGTTTTGTCTTGCCGTTCTCGGCATCCTGGGGCCCTCAGTGGACCCCGGGGTCACCAAAAAGCTGCTCAGCTTGAAAAGCTGGTCCTTGGGCCTGGGTCCAGACCTCTGGGGAGCCACTTTTGCGAACAATGACAGCGCCGTATGTCTGAGTGTTGGGCCGGCGGTTGCAGCTCGAGGCTCGGTTCTGCGTGGACCGTTCGGAAGGGACCCTTGAGCCGGACTTGAGCGGGCTGTGGTCGAGACTTCTGGCGTGGTGTTTTTCTCTCCCATTCTTTGGTTGTTGTTAGTCTTCCCCACTTTCTCCTCCTCTTCCTCCTTCGCTTCTTCGGCCATCTGGGCGGGTTCTTTTTGGGCATGGGAGCGGCTCGTAGAGCGATAGCATCCGCACTTCAAGCAAAAGCATACGGCAGGTTTGCGTCGTGTCGACCGGCGGCGACCCCAGCGCGGGCATTTCAGGTTGAACGCCGCTTGTGGCCCAGAATCGGCCCATTCTTTTGAGCGATCCGGCATCTTTGAAAGTGCCGATCGTTCAAGTTTGAACGATCCCCGCGGTGTCAGGAACCAACCCCGGAGTCGACACGACGCGAACTTGCCGTAATCAGCTGCTTTTCTCGCGGTGCAGCAAGCGTATTCGCACACGCGCCGCCTCCTCGCCCGTGTCGGCCACAGGCGTCCCCCCTCCTCTCGCAGGGTTTGCTTGACCGAGCGCCGTGTGCACCCCTCCAGGGGCTCCGCGAGAGCGTGGTCCGTCCCTGATTCGTGCAGTGAGATGACGCATCATCGGCCACTCGTGCTCATCGCGTGTACCTCCTCTTCCTCTTCGCTCTCGCCCTTCTCGGAGTTGTCAACGGCGAAACCTTGACCCGGTGTGCCCATCCCTCGCAGCTGCGACTGCCGCGTCCGGCGGTTGGACGTGTGCACCCGGACGGTGGCGAAGAATGTTGTGAATGTGGTAGGCCTCGCCGGCCGAGAGGCTAGTGAGCCATCTGACCCGCCACATGTGGGCGCTCTTCGCTTTCGCCCTAACCACTCTTGCTGAGTTCGACGAGCCTCGTCGTGCCTGTCAAGAGCAGCGACTCAAATCGTTAGGTCTCCAGCCGAGCAGTTGCGAGTCACAGGTGAACGTATTCAGCGCTGTGGAAAAGGCGACGGGATCTGGACACCCCCGCGCGCAAGGCAAAAGTCAAACGTGTGTGCCGCCAGCACTGACCGCGCGCAAGGAAAAAGTGTGCCGCCAGCACTGAAGTAGCGCTGTCTCAACAACTACCACGTGCAGACACTGCGTGCTGATGTTTGGCAGGGTTCGCAGCATTGGTAGGGCCTGCAATCTTTGCATACCCGATTACAGCGGCCGAAGGCCCAAATGAGGTCCGGCCTTGTAGCATCAACCGTTGAGGATGGTTGCGTCGCGGGTGCCAGCAAGGTGCCAGTGCTTGATGATCAAAGCACGCCAGATTCCACGTCAGCCATCACCATCATGGTTACTCGCAGCATTTTCCTGGGCTGCTGCTAAGCAATGTTCTTCTACTTCCCGTCCTCTTCATCCTCCCTCCTCCTCCTCCCTCTCTTCCTTATCCTTACAGTGTGTTGTTGCACGCCCGTTTCTTCTCTCAGTCAACGGCTCACTGCATGAGTTTGCCTATTGCTGGTCGGCTAGTGTGGAGTTTGCCTTGCGACCTTGAGATTCGCAGTTTGACATCAGCCCCTGCAAATCGAGATCACGTGGTCGCACGGTCCTCCTCCGCCTCCTCCCTCTCCTTCTCCCCAAAAACAACGCGCCAGTGTACTTCAGATCGGCCAGCACTTGGCAGGCTAACTCTACCTAGGGTGTTTTCTCGGTGCGTAGTTTCGCCGAGGACGTCACCGGCCAGCGGCTGGCCAGCAGCAGGCCCGTCATCGTGAGAGCCACGGGCTTCCTGCTGTGTGTGTGTGTGATTGAGACCGTGGATCTGCCAAGGGAGTTCACGATTTCCCGTGGCAGGGCCGAGAGCACAGCCAGTGACACAGCAGTAGTAACATGGAGTGCGGGCGGTCTCGGCGCCCCACGCTCTCGGTCGTCGAGAGGCGTGCTGGCCGCCCCCCTCAAGTACAGTGGGGGCCCACGCCAAGAAACACCCTGCGTGTGCCTCCAGGGTGCCCTGGGCTTCTTGGGTTTCGATGGTACTGCTGTGGAGGGCGTGACGGTCCCACGTCAGAGATCGATGGACGTCCTGGGGCCTCAGGGTTGAGTATCTTGTGGAAGGTTTCTTGTGGACTGGCCTCCACTGTACACCACCCTCGCGAAGCGCGCATCGGCCAGCTGAAAAAGCACATTCCAAGGCTTCAGGCGCCTACGTGCTCTGGGTGGGAGGCTCGGGAGGATCACGCGCCAAGCCCTTCCCTCCGCCATGCTGTATGGAGAAAGGGTTACTGAGGCAACCTCGCATCTTATCGGACGGATGAGAGCTACGCTGCGTTAAGGGTGGTGCATCTTGCCTGGAACCACATCCACATGGCTGGCGTCGTGCTGCGAGCTGGTGGTGCAGGAGACCCTCAGATCCGTGTCTGGGTGGAGCCAATATACCGGTGGAGCAACATAGTCACGCATGATAAGTTACTTTGACGAATTGCTGCAAACGGCGTGGGAAGCTCAAGCGCCACGAGTTCGGCCACAAGATCAACATCCATGGTCAGAGGTGCAAGGGCCGTCAGGGACTACCCTCGTTGGTGGCGAAGGCGATCGGGATGGGCAGCTCGTCGGCATTCGATTGAAAGACGCAACAAGGTAAGACCATTTGCTGGCATGGAACCCCACCAGCTGCTGTGCGATCTCTTGCCATAAATGCAGCCAAGCCGCGAGGATGGAAGCGCTGAGAGCCAGAGCCGGTACCATAATGGCAACCACCTGCACCCACGTTTGCTAGCAGATGGCTGGCCGTGCACAGGAGGTCGTTAGGCGTAAGAAGATGCGCCTAAGAGAGTCAGTGTCCTCACTCCTTGCCCCCCTCATCTTGCCCAAGCCCTGGCCCAGAGCGGGAGGCTCTGTAGGTGTGTGTGGGTGGTGTTCTGCACATGCGCGTGTTGAGACAGTTCTCCAGCGCCTGATGCGATCCAGGTGCCCAGGAAGGCGAAGAAAGCGACCGCCTCTCGGCTCGGGGCTTGGTGGCATTCCGTGGGCCCGCGGTCCGTCCTATGGCCGAAGCAGATCGCATGGTCCTAGGAGTTGTCACCTCCGCGCGCAAGCGCGTGCGCCTTTCTGATCAGCCAGAAAGCGGACCAGGCCACGCGGCCGATCACAACCTGATAGTGAGGAGTCTCATGTGGGCTGTAGCCGATGTCGGCACTGCTCAGCCGGCGGCTGCCAAGAGGGGAGGGGACGGCGGTGGTTCTGGTCGTGGTGGTGGGGCGGTTGGCGGTTCGGTTCGGTCGGGTGCGTCGGGATTCGTCGAAGAAGAAAACACGCCATAAACAGAAACTTTGGGCGCTCCGCGCGGTGTTTTTGGATCAGCGCTGGGCCCCCCCAGCGGCGCCTCCGGTGCCGCCCCTGGCGCGCTCCGCGCGCCAGGGAGAGGGGTCCAGCGCAGATCCGAGAAATCCGCGCGGAGCGCCCAAAGTTTATGGTTGTGGGCCTTCTTTCTTCTTCGAAATTGAGGGTGTACGTGCAGCAGGTCCACCTGCCAAGCACCGTGCCATCACCTCCGCCCCCCCTCGTTTCCTCGGCTGCTCCTCCTGCTGCCCTGGCGGAGCCTCCTTCGCCAGCTGTTCCACCACACCCACAAGCGCCAAAAAGCAGGCCAGTCAGGAGCCTCCGCTGCAGCAGAGAGATCCCAGTCTCTACTAGTCACAGGCCCCATCCCGCCCGAAACTGCCAGAGGACGCCGCGCTCATGTCTCGGGACCTCTTGCCGCCCGTGTCGATTGTGGAGATTACGCTTGCAAGCGGAGTGCGTGGGGCCTCCTCTGGCCTCAATGCGATCCCAAGGCGAGCTTCACGGAGCCGAGTGGGAAATGCCGTCCAAAGCGTTTCCTGGAGCCCAAGCATCCAGTCAATAATGAAGCCACCGAGCAGCCCCGTCACATTTTCAGGTGATGGCGATGATGATAAAGCCATCGAGCAGCCTCGTCCCAGTACAGTTGGCGTGCCTAATGTTGGGCGGTGGATCGGAGGACATCTCAAGTTGAGCGCGTTCTCTGTCCGCAGGCCTAGTTGGCACGAAGGCCTCCCTGTCCTGGCCCTGCTCACCACGTCGCTCAGTGCGGACTGGGTGGTTGTGCCGCTGCGGGCGCCTCGATTGCATGCCAGGATTGGAGGCGTTTGTCGTTTGGAAGCTCCGTGCGGAGCTGGGCTGTCTCGGGCCTGGCCCGCAGGTGGGCCCCAGAGGCCCCCTATGGAGGGCCCCACGAGGGCCCCCAGGGGGGCCCCCCCGAGACGCGCCCAGGACGGCCCCAACGAGCGCCCAGCGACGGCCCCTAAGAGGGGGCTCAGGAGGGAAACCCCGAGCGGCCCTGTCGTGCCCTCGGCCGCGAGGCCCCCCCCCCCACGGGAGGCCCCGAAGAAGGCCCCCCGAGAGGAGGGCGTGCTTTCCCGTCGTGCCTCGGCGCGGGAGCCGTACCCCGGGTCCCTGCCTGCGGGCGGCCAAGGGGCAGCCGACGGCTTTTGGGGTACTTGTTGCCCTCGGCTGGGTTTTCGTTATGGTGTTTGTTGTATGTATGGTTTCTGGTATGTTGTCTGGGTTTGTTCATGTCTTTTGTTGTTTTCGTGTTTTTTTATGAGTTTTGTGTGGACTGGTTTGGCTTAGTTGTTTGCGTTTGTTGGTCATCAAGGGGGGAAACCACCCGGACCCGAGAATTCTAAACGCTTCGCGTAACCCCGCCAGCCCATCCAGACACGATGCTTGGAGGAGTTGCCTCGATCAGGGAAGTGGGCAGCACGCAGAGGATCCTCTTTGAGCTTCTTGGGAGCCTCTTGGCGGACCTCGAGGCCTCTTGGAGGGTCTTGGGTGCCTCGGGGAGCTTCTTGGGGCCTCTGGGGGGTCTCTTGGGAGCCTCTTGGAGGCCTCTTTGGCGCCTCTTGTGGCCACCTAGGGCCTCCTGGGCGCCTCTTGGGGCCCTTTTGAAGCGCCTTAGGAGCCTTGGGGGCGCTCCTGGGGCCATCTTGGAGGACGTCGATCAAACAAGAGGTAGCTTCAATTCTTTACGCTTCGCGTATCCCCACCAGCCCATCTCACAGCAGCAACTCTCGCGAAGCATGCCGACAGTCGTGTTTTTCAGGCGTGTGTCCGCTTGGCCCCGCATATCTCCTTGTTGTGTGAGTCGTTCGGGCTCTTCGTGGTGTGAGTCGTTGGGGCCCCACGTCCTGGTGTGAGTCGTTCGGGCTCCTCGTGGGGCCTCTTGGGAACCTCTTGGAGCCTCGCGGGGCCTCTGGGGCGTCTCTGGGGGGCCTCTTGGGGGCCTCTTGGGAGCCTCTTGGAGCTTCTTGGGGCCTCATGGGGGCCTCTTGGGAGCCTCTTGGTGACCTCTTGGGGCCTCTTGGGGGCCTCTTGGGGGGCCTCTTGGAGGCCTCTAAGGAGCCTCCTGGGGGCCTCTTGGGGCCATCTTGGGGCCTCCGACGACGGCCTCGGAAGCAGAAATGAGCGCTGCCCCCTAAGAAAGAGAAAATGACGCCAAAACCTTCGTAAAATCAATAATTTTGCTATGAAGGACGATGATCGTGGCCCCCGCAGAAGGGCAAAATGGGGCCAACACCGGAGTAAAATCAATGTTTTTGGCTTGCAAGACGAGTGGAGGGACCAAACTACCTCCCCCCCTCGAGAGCAGAATCCTCGTGAGGGTCGTCGTTGTTTGGCCCTCCCAGGAGTCGAAAAAGACCCCCTTGATCCCACTCGGCCCGCCCTCTCCAGGTCCAGGGGAGGGGGTAGGGGGAGGGGTAAACCCCTCCCCGAAGGGGAAGGTAGGGGGTTAGGGGGTTGAGGACAGAGCGGGTTCTCTAAACCACTCACGCCCAAAGGGCTGGTGGGATTAGCCTCCCCCCCCCAAGAAGCCAACACGTAGCCAAAACCTTAGTAATTCCAATGTTTTTGGCCTCCTCGCCGAGGCCGTTTTGGACGCTCCAATCCCCCCGTCCAGGCCCAGGGGAGGGGGTAGGGGGAGGGGTCAAGACACCCTCGCCGCATGCAAGCCGTCTAGCTCTCTCCCACCCGCCCGCCCACAACAGAAGTGGCATCCGAGTCTCGGCATAGCCAGGGGTCGCCACTGGATGGACAGCCACTGGGAACCAAAGCGGACGCCAGGTGCGCGACGCTCGCCGTGGGCTCCACATGCGGTTGGTGTGCCATCCTTGTAAAAAAACGTGATGCCCCCCGTCCGCATGGTCCAGATGCGGATGTGTGGGGCGTCAGTATTCTTCTGGGCCTACGCACAGCAAGCATCATCATGTGGGCACCACCGCCGTCCCTGTCAAATAGCAATACAAAGAGATCGCGGGTGGCCAGCACAATACCCACGACGTTGTCGCAACGTGCATTTTGCATGGCTTTGACACGGATGGTGGTCCTGCACAAAGCGGCTTCACAAAGGGTGCCCCGCCACCCCCGTCAAGAATCAATACAACGTGCTCGCAGGGCGCCAGCGCACTGTCCATATTTTGCTGTAGTGTGCACTTCGTATTGTTTTTCTGCCAGGGAGTGTGGAGGGTGTTGACAGGGTGGGCCCCGCAATGCGCATGTTGTATTGTGTTTGACAGGGGTGGTGGGGGGGGATGCCAGCATGGTTCCGGGTTGGCTGCCGGCCAGGTGGGGGAAGGGGGTGTTTATCAATATGGAACAGTGATGACACCCTCCCCGAAGGGAAAGAAGAGGGTTGGAAGAGGAAACGCCCTAGGCCACCTACGCCCAGAAGGCTGGTGGGGCTGGCGTTTACGACGCGGCCGTGAGCGTTTCGATGCCTTCTCTGGGCGCGGTTACTGAGCGGCCTCGCGTTTCGGGGTTATTATTACAGGGGTGGAGTTTCCTGCTCTCTACTACACTCAGGAGGGCAGGCTCGCCGCGATTCTCTTCTGCGCACCTCGGGCAGGCGTCGCAGGTCGCGGTAACATGGCAACGCCTTGTTGCAGGCAGTGCATCACCATCGTCATCATCTACATCATCATCATCATCACCATCATCTTCATCATCATCATCATCATCCTCATCCTCATCCTCATCATCATCATCATCATCATCCTCATCATCAGCATAAGCATCAGCATCAGCATCCGCATCAGCATCACAATCATTACCAGCAGCATCAGCGTCACCATCGTCATCACCATCGGCAGCAGCTAATGATTAGCATCAGCACCAGCAT